TTTAGTGCGCGCGGATGGGTGGGGCAAGCGTCACACCCACTCAAAGGGCAGGAGTCAGCATGGCGAATCGCCATTACAAGCGTTTTCCGAACAGTTTTTCGCTTCGGAAGCAATTCGGCGTGAATTGCGCGAGTATACAGTTAGGAGGCCATCGTTAGGCATCAAATTCATCGATCCCACCTGCGTTCACGGTGCCTTTAAGAGAAAGAATTAAACTGGCTTATATAGCTTTAGTAGCTCGGATTACTTCTGAGCGCAACAGAAAGTTGTTGACAATGTACCAAATTCATTATATTAGGTTGGCTCAATTTCGGTGGCTTTGGAACTACTACAAAAGCTGCAGACAAATTTTTCTTCGACTTTCTCTTTGATATCTCCGGAAAGGACACTTCATTGAGAAGTGGATATAAGTACTGTTTAAATGTGCAATTCCCTAGAAAAGGCGCAAAATAGTGAGAAACTCCGATTTTCTTATCGTGCGCAAATGTGAGAGAATTTCGCTTTTTAACTAAAGAATTTCAAAAGAACGGATACAAGCACGACTGTTATTCTCTAAATAGAGTAGTTTGTTTGTATACAAATACCAAATCATCCATCTCTACATCCATCTAACAAGGGAAGGAAGGTTGGTCGAAGTGGCCTTTCGAAATGAGGTGTATACTGCCTCGTAGAGCTTGGAGCGCTAATTCCAAATCTATCTTTGCTATCTGCTGCGGGCTTCTGGGCGAGGAGTTATGAAAGTTTTTGTGAGTAAAAATCTGAATGCAAAAACAGGGTAAAATCGGTCGTAACCTTTTCCTAATGTTCAAATGAGGCAGCAGCGAATTGGTTTATTTAAATCAAGAATATTTGTTGCACCGAGTGACCCGACTACCAATTAAGCCTTATAAAAAATGTTACGACCGATTTTAGCCTACTCTTGCATTCAGATTTTTACTCACAAAAACCTTCATAACTCCTCGCCCAGAAGCCCGCAGCAGGTGGCAAAGGTAGATTTGGAATCAGCGTTCCAAGCTCTACAAGGCAGTATACATTTCGTTTCAAAAGGCCACTTCGACCAACCTTCCTTTCCTTGTAAGAAAATAAAGCTTAAATAGTCAGACAACATTCGTGTGCCAGCTTGTTAGCTTTAGACTGGTTAGGTTTACGTCAATTCGAGAAAAGGATATTGCTCAAAGCAAAGATCATGTCAACCACCTCTCGAACCGTCAAAGTGTATTATCTTTGACGGTTCCAAAGGTGGTCGACGTACTAGAATTATACATTTATCCTATCAAACCCTAATAAAAGCTGAAAAACATATGGTTCAAAAGTTGTGCCATAAAAGAAAATAAGACCTCATTATGACTGCAACTCTTCTTGAGATATTCGATAACGCAAACTTCAGGAGGAATAAACTGTAAAACCCAAATTTACCGCGCATTTTGTTGCTTCTAACTATTTTGCGCCTGCTTTAAACTAAATATATTTTCCACCCTTAAGTCTACCCCACTATCTGTTTGTAGTGATCTTGATGTGTGTTGTTGGAAAGAGTGTGACATGTGTGAAGTAAGGAAATCAAAAGAGACTTGATAAAGGAGAGATAATCCGGGAAACAGAACTTGCAGGCAATCAATAGATTATGTAATATCAAGTTGTTATTAGAATCTCTCGACCTGATTTATAAGTAAGTGTCCATCATCTTAAAGAACGTGAGCGTATTTTTGTTAGCTCTAGACGCTCGGCGTAGGTGGTTTTATAAGCAAGCTGTATATCGTTTTTGGGACAGAATGCAAAGGGGATATCGTTTTTGTGGGTCCAAAATTAGTTTTTTTAGTCGATTTCATTTTTTGGTCGACTTGGATGTTTGGGATAAAACAAAGAGGATATCGTTTTTGTGGGTTCAAAAGCAGGTTTTTCTTTTAATCGAGTCCTTTTTTTGGTCGATTTGAATGTTTGGAATAACTTCGTGAAATTTTTGCATCAGGGGGATTTGTTCTTTGCATTTCCGGCAACCCACCTCGTGCCGAGCCCAGGCTCTAGAAAACGAAAACAATTGAGTTCGGCAAGTCAAGTCAGGGCAGAAAGGGTGCTCAACGATCTGCTTGGAACCGGCGGCGTGGCAGGAGTTCCCAAGACCTCGCCGACTTTCCTTGCAGGAGTGATTGGCACCTTCAGAGAAACGTGGAAGGGCCATCCCACCTTCACAGCTCGAGGAACGGCTCCGCCTTCTAACTAAGTGCGCTCATTCTAGATTGTGCAAGCGCAGTGGAATCTTTGTATTTATGAAAAGTGAGGACCACTTAAGCTGATTCGAGAAATTTCGTTAATCAAATTCAATTTCCTTTCAAACATTAGAAACAGCGAATGCGTGCAGATGAATTCGCAATCTTGGTTATCAGTGTTAGTTCTGTCTTAAAGAAAAGTAAAGCAACACTCTCCTGGCCACCTTTACCTGCTCCCCTAGAAATCTATTGTTATGCTTATGCTATAAATGATTACCTTGTGTCAAGCGCCCGAATCTCCAAACAACAATCTTTCTAGAATTACTAAAATTTATTTTCTGAAGTGATCAAATTTTATATTTGGCTCATCAACCTCGCAGAATCAGACGCTGAACAGTTTAGGTACCATTCGATGCATCTTTTCCTCCTCTTTCTGATAGCTACCTTTTCTTTGCGAGACATGTGACTTTTGCAGACAAAATCGCTGTAATTTCCAATTTTACGGGTGCCCAAGGGTGTAGTGGAAATTCCAAAGTCAATCCATTTTCACGCCATAATCGCTCACTTACTTCGTAATACTAGTGATATTAATAATCGAGTTCCAGAACTTCAATATTTTGGGGATTTCGCAGTGTTTGGTGCAATTATGTGTCTTGCAAATTTTTCAAAATTCAATGCTCTCGTAAGATAATTCAGCAAAATTCTAAAAAGGAGGTTGAAATAATGCAAAAAGTTGCATTAATTTGCAAAAGATTTGCCCTAGAAGGTGGTTATTAGAACGCCTTCAAAAACTCAAAACGAAATAAGTTAAACATGGTAAAAATGATGGGCTCTAGTTTTCGGCGATTATCTCAGTGCTTATCGAAATAGTCACATCGAAAACATCGCTGTTGAAAAGAAGAAGAAATTTTGCATCGGATAATGCTTACAGCGTTTCTCTATCTTCTAAGTGTTTTGAGCATGGGTCTGAAAAACTGCGCAAACTTTTGTAGCGACCTAATACAGGGTGTCCCAAAAAAATGTATCGAACGTTTGATCGTTAATATCTTTCTTCCCAAGAAGTCTTTTGGCTTGCTTCAGGTACCGTTTAGTAGAGATGGCTTCAACTTAGATTTGCATTATAAAACGAATCACCCATCTCTCTTCATTACTGTAGGATTACGGTGGAAACTTGAAACATATGGTGTCAATGTGGAAAAAGCTGCCATTTCAAAATTTCAAAAAAATATGAAAACATGTGTAATAGGGTTTTTATGGACGCTGAGTTCAATATTCAACTATTCACAAGATTACAAAGCATTCTAAATGGTTTAATCGCACTTTTTAAGAACATTGAAAAAATGGCCGCTACCTCTTACTGGCATAACTCTTCAATGAAGCATCATAACAAGTTGGGAACTTTATAGTTATAATCAGCAACTCTAATTAGCCTAGTGTAAAAGTTTTCAGGCTGTTTTATTTCTTTTCTGAGGCAAAATATGGCCTTTCATTGCTTAAAACCCTTTTTGAAGTTTCTACCGTAATGCTACAGTAATGAAGAGAGATGGGTGATTCGCTCTATAATGCAAATCTAAGTTGAAGCCAGCTCTATAGAACGGCACCTGAAGCAAGCCAAAAGACTTCTTGGGAAGAGAGATATTAACGATCAAACGTCCGATCCTTTTTTTTGGGACACTCTGTATTTTTGAGCAGCCGATTTTTCACTCTAAACAATCAAATTTTCAAATCGAACTATTCAGGAGTGGCAAGATTTATTCCGAAATAGTTTTTATAGGAACTGGTAACCGTCTATTTGAAAAAAAAAAAGAAAACTGGGCGCTGCATTCACACTAAATTTTATACTAACTTGAATAAAGCGTACTTATTACTGAAGTTTGTAATCAGTGAAAATTACATGTTCATAGTTATTTCCATATGGTTCAACTATGAAATGACAACTTCTTTTTTTCCAATTTTTTCTTTTTCAGTACTTCAATTTTTAACTCTCTGTTTTCTCTACTTGCTTACCTCACAATGAGGGCAGTTAATGGGTGGAGCAATGGGCGGTCCCTGACCTCTGAGATGCGTAGGTGCTAGAACCCTCCTGGGTGCGATGGATGGTGCGAACTTGGTGCGATGAAAGGTGCTAGGAACTCCTTGGCCCTCCCTTGGAACCAGATTCTCCCCTACTTCCACTAGGTTGGGTTAAGGTAACTGAGCGCATATGACCGTAGGCTATACTAACTAACAAGGTATCATTGATGATAAGATGGGCCGTCATCCTTTGAAATGCTCAAGCGTTTGAGTAGTAAAAGTAGACAAATTTTTTGACATTTCAATATCCATACCTCGGAAATGAGAAGTTGAGCGACACTAAGTGCTTTTACTTTCTTATGGGAAATTCATCAGATCCGATCAGTACATTTCAGACATTTTACAAGATTTCATGTAGCTTTATCTCGTTGAAATGATTTTTGCAAAGGGGAAAGTTCACTAAGAAAAATTAGCCTAAGCTGTTTATAAGAGAAGATTCTCTAAGAAATGCTTCAGTTTAGTACTAATGTGTTGCCTACTTGCTCATCGACATCCTTGATTTGGTATTTGCCTTGATTTGGTCAGAGTCATGTCTTTACTGAAGACGATATTAACGTTTCATTTCAAAATTGGCCAAGTTTACGTCAGTCATCGCTTTGAAAACATTGATCCGATTTGTTTTATGCTATTGCCTTTTCCTTACAGATAATTTGTGCAAATAGTTTTGCAAAAAAAAACAGCTTTATGTTATTCAAGAAACCTCTTTTTCTAATCTATGTGTTTGGCTCAGATTATGTTATGTGTGGAACACTTAAATGCATGCATTTATTCACACCTGTTTAAACATAGGTGGACCAACTTCATGAGCTGTAGTATTTTGCGGGGCACAAACCGGGATATGGTTCCGCTTGGCAATCTGCCATGCCCGCTCCAGCAGAGCACTGCTTGCAAGTGGGACCCATGTTGTAAATCTTTTCGCCGTTCTTCAGGATTCTGTGATGGGAATTTACTTTTTACTGGTATTTAATTTTGTCTGATATTCGCCAAAAATTCTAAGAAACATACCCTTCATATTTGCACACAACACGCACACCTTTATCGCACTTGACTGCAGCGCAACCAACTTTTTTCGTTTTATCGGTTGCCATCTGAATTTCTCGTAGAGTAGTTTTCGCAGTGGATTTATCAGCTTAGAACTGGCGTTACGAGGAAGGTATACTTGTGTTGTTTACCTTAGAGAAATGTTGTTTGAGGCTGTGATCGTAGTACAGGTTTTGGATTTGGTCGATCACAGGATCTTTCGTAATTTCGTTCCACCATTCCTCTAGGGCCTCAAAAGTAAAGTTCAATCTGGAGCTTCAAAACCTTTTCAACTTCTTACCTTGTTTTGAGCTTCTGCCAGATCGGTTGCACCTTCCACCATCTTCATATTAAACTCCCGGCCAGTCAAGTCATCCGTTTCTTCACATTTCTGTGCTTCCTCTAGGGCCGTCTTTTCGAGATCGCAGTCAATTTCCTGAGCAGATCTACGTTTGAGCTTAGCAACTTGTACAGTTTTTGATTTAGCAAATGTAACAGTAATTTTGACTGTTCTTTTTGCACGTAACTTACTAGTTCTGGCATATTGTTTGCTTTTCGCATTTTGGTACCAGCACTCCCCATAGCCGTGTTTCCACTAGCAAGCTCTGCTCTGAACATAAATCAATCTGTATGTTTGAAAGTAGCTGGGTTCACTACCTTTTCTGATTGTGCAGCTCCAGCGAGGCATTTCTGAGTGCGTCATTCATTCCATCATTGTCCGAACAAATCGTATTGGGTTCCGATGCTGCAGCTTTCAGTTAAAACCTTGTTTTGCTTGGCTGGAAAAAACAAAACCTTCAGTTGTGGTGGTCGTTCCTTCAGTTGTTTGAGTGATCACAGGGCAAGTCGTTCCCACTTCCTCGTCATCTGGCGGCACTGTATTAGCACCAGTAGAATCCTGTGCTTTGACCACCAAAAGCACAGCGAAGAAAACCTGCGGATGTGTTATCACATCTTCTAACAAAAGCAAAATAAAGTATACAAGAGCACTTACAGCTAGATATTCAAACATCGAACGCATTTTGTCGATATGGACGTCTCTGCGCACGTCTATTTATACGCAAGCAAGACGACCAAATCCTTATCGTCATGTGATCCATGGCACTTTTTCAGCTTTATCTCTTTTATGTCAAAGCTTCTAAACTGAAAATTAACACCAATATTGGGTGACATTTGTCATGACTTCGACGTGTCAAACAACTCTTTCACAGAGTGAACGTTTGTTAGGGACTAACTTCGAAATTATTAGTTCGGAAACGGTAGAAGATTGCGCAAAAACCGAGTACGTGGATGAGCTACGTGAATGTTTGAATTTTTCGATAGCCACTTCCTCTCTTAGAATGGACATTTCGCCATTAACATAGATACTGGTAAACCTTCTCCATCCATGGTATTATTTCTTAGATCATCAAAGTGGAAAACTAGGCAAATTTAAGGTCATAGTGGGCTAATGAGAGCCACTGATTTTCGCTCATTTTCACTGTATGTGACATACCTATATACGCACCGTTTACTAAAGGCGAATTTGAACGATTTCCCTGATAAATAAACGCAAGGGAATTTTGAGGAAGACAACTTTGAGTTGACTTTATAAGACATATTTGCCAGCTTTGATACTCCCACTGTTATTTGAAAAATCCCAAACCCTAGTAAGTTCAAAGGTAAAAATGCCAATAAGAAGTGAAAGAATTTTTAAACCCGCTTTGTAATGTAAAAAAAGTGAATACTTTACATATGAGGGTAAATTTATCATTGATTCATCATTTTCTATACTGAAGATTGTCTGTCGCTCCTCAGGACACTCGCCCTTGTAAGAGCGAAAAGGACCAATGTTTCCCGTTCTTCTATTTGTGGAACTACTTTCATAGCTGAAAATTGAGTATTACTTCATATGTGTATGGCTAGATGGGAGCTAACACTTCCTTTTCTATTCTGATGCTAGTTGATTTCTGAGTAGAAGGGAAATTATTCGGTTTTCTTGCACATTCGAGGCTACAATTAATTTTTTCAGAATCTAGAGCTTACATGACCAACTTCAATTTTTGAAGATAGAAGGCATGTACTATAGTGCATATAGAATATGAGATGAGCCCAACTAGAAGCAAGATTTGCCATTTGCCACTTTCCGTTCTTTTCGATTTCTGGTTTCGAAGCGGCATAAGTGTATACAAATAACTCTTTGAGCTAACTGTAGTACCGCCACCTATACCTTTACACTTTTTCTCAGGAAGCGTCTATTCTTGTGACCAATTTTGCCTATTATGCTACACTTATTTGTAAGAATACTATACTAAACTATTAGGTTGGTCCAAAAGTTCTTGCGCAACATTTTCAAAAAGTCATAACTTCCTTGACACTCGATGGATTTCGTTGAAGTTATATCTGTTCGAAAGAGGAGTCCATGCTCTTTACAGCTGTACCTTCGCCGTGAATTACTTTGAGAAATTGCGAGAGTTACAAGCATTTGAAGGAAATCAGTCAAAATTGGCATTTTTCGAGCTGGGTCACGAAAAATCCTGGAAGTATTTTTATATGATAGAGAAAATTATGCTCAATACAATGGTACTTTTCCCATGAGCTGAAACGAAAAAGATCGAGAGTTAGAACCAAATGAAGAGAATTCCTTCAGTTTTGTAATTTTTGAGCATGCTCAAAAAAGCCCAGAAACGTCATAGAAAATACGAAATAGTCATGAACTGGGTATTGTGACATTCTCTTTTTAGATGAGCAATTTTCGAGCTAATCGAGAGCAATTTTGTTTTTCGCGATTTTTTCGGATTTTCGGGCCTGCATTTTTCACGAAAATCAAAATTGCTCTCGATTAGCACGATTTCTGCTCAATTAGAAAGATAAGGTTACAAAACCCATGTTCATGACATTTGCGTATTTTCTGTGACGTTTCTGGGCTTTTTTGAGCATGCTCAAAAATTACAAAACTGAAGGAATTCTCTTTATTTGCTCCTAACTCTCGATCTCTTTCGTTTCAACTTATGGGAAAAGTACCATTGTATTTCATATAAAAATACTTCCAGAATTTTTCGTGACCCAGCTCGAAAAATGCCAATTTTGACTGATTTCCTTCAATTGCTTGTAACTCTCGCAGTTTCTCAAAGTAATTCACGGCGAAGGTACAACTGTAAAGAGCATGGACTCCTCTTTCGAACAGATATAACTTCAACGAAATCCATCGAGTGTCAAGGAAGTTATGATTTTTTGAAAATGATGCGCAAGAACTTTCGGACCAACCTAATATAATGTTAATTAACTGTCGTATCGCGTTACAACCTAGTCTCAAAAAGAATTTCATTGATTATGCTTACAAATTTAGTAAGGCAAAAGTTGTATTTCGGCTGTGTTGTGCAGAAAACTACAAGTTTTCATGAAGCTTCCGGTTTTTTACAAAATTACACAAAAAGTGCACCAGAAATTATTGCCAAACTAGACGTGCTGCTTAATTCTTGGCATGCGTAGGCTCCATCATCCGAACTACATTATTCTGGGAAAATTTGCTGTGTATCTCGGGTGTGAGGTTTCACCTAAGCTCCATCTCTTTGTTCATCATGGAGACGAAGTTTTAGCACGTCAGTAAATCGCATTCTCAAAGTGGGCACTTCTTGAACATTGTAGTAAGTATAGAATATAATTGTCAATACTTCTAACACGACAAGAAGATAGCGATAGCTGTATTAGCTATATGTTTCAAGCCTTAAAAAGCTTTCTCAGATGTGTCATGAACTGTTATGAACCATTTAAAGCTAACTTTTCAAAGATAAAAGCTGCTCCACCATTCAAAAAAAAAGGTGGACTTCTAACTGCAACGTGGTCTGCAGTATCATGTTGAAGTCTGACAAGAAATTCGAAAGTTTTTTGAGCTCTTTTTATGAGCTGGCTAAATCCCGCTGGCAATTCTTTTCATACCTCATCAACACACTAACAGCACTGCTGAAGGGGGTTTTTAGGCTTACTTCTGCAGTAAGGCCTACAAAATCGCAAAAGAAGGGCTAAAGTCACCGTTTGCGCTCATTGTCAGAAAATATATGGAAGAGTTTGAAAAGCTTTTGACCGATATATAACAAGGCTTATTGTTTTTCAGGTTCATGTTGGTTCTCTAATTTTGATGAAATTCTAAAGAATAGTCAAACTTATGCGCAGGATTTAAGGCAATCAGAATATGTCTCAAAACAAATTTGACTTCTAAAGGAAAACTTATGCAGCAGGCTGCTTAACACCTTGTGACAATCAGTATGTTTCACAGTGCAAGAGCCTTTATTTTCATACAAATGTATATAATGGATATATTCCTATTTTCGAGAGCCCGATTCCTTTGGTAGTTCGACCGCTTGAACATGTGAGCTCAGTTTCGATAGATATCGATTGTAATCGTCACTGAAACGACGGGAATGTAGTTCGCTAATTTAGTCCCGTAGTCTTCTCTCATTCACAGTACTGAAATGTTTTTACCAACTACTAGTGGTTACAACAACCAACAATGAGTCTTGATTTTTTGCTTTTATGTTAATTTACATTACAATTGCCTGATTGATACTCCAACTTACGCACATCCCGTAATAATTCAACAAGGTTTCATGTAAAACGGCTTATGATTGATATCAGCAAGTCGAATAACATTTGGGCCGACTTCCGGCGAAGTTCCTCACTTTGTACCTACTTAACCACAGGGAGGTGTTCTCGTGCACATTAGGTGCGATATCCATGATCAGCGGGTCAAATATCCATTCCCGAGGCGATTTTCAGCGAAATCCATGACTTTGGACCCCTACCGTGTACTCATCTGACCCCGGGAATTAGAGCTTCCATACAAAATAAATATGATATTCGACATCAGCGGGTCAGATCATCCCCTAGCCAGTTTTCGACAAAATCATGATTTTGAATTATTGGGGCCCTTTGTGGAGCATGGCGATCGGGCAGGAGGCAGCAAAGGCCTGCCGCTTCTGGTTTTGGAAGTACCTGAGGAGCTGCAGAGTTCCTCGCTCTTCTAATTATTTCTTCGCACCTCTAAGAATCTATTCGATATGACCTATGCCCAATTATTCGTAAACTTTACAATTGAGGTAGATTGCGAGATGTAGGTTTCATGTTTCATATTCAAAACGAATGAAATTGTAAGTTTCAAAAAAGATTCATAGAATTAGGCTAATTCGACATCGAAGGTGGTATAAAGGTCAGAATTTTGAGCGTATATGGAAGTATAAATCGGCCTATCAAATCTTCAAAAAGGATTAAGCATATTCTTGTAACTTTTTCGTCATGATAATTCCGATCGAAAACAAGGAATCCAGAAACTGATAGCCACGGTCTTTATTTTGCGACAGTCTTAATCCCTTCTACTCCAAGAATTTGAAGGAAACTGATTGAACCCGATTTCTATAGGCTGAAACCGATTATAGCTGAGAGTGAAAGAAATTGCAAGATTTTTAACTCGATCCGAAGTAAAATACTCTTCAAGAAGCTTCTTGTTTGATTTTCCTGCTTGTAATGTAATCAAAGGTGCGAAGAATGATTAGAGGCGCGATAAAGTCTGGGGCTCCCCAGGCACTTCCAGAAGCAAATGCGGGCTTTGCTGCCTCCTGCCTGACGTCCGTGGAGCAGTACCGTGTAGAAATTATATAGATTATGTGAATCTATAGAAGCCAGCTAGTAAAGCATGTTTTGAGTATCAACTAGTTGCCCCATCCACTTGGAAAATCTTGCTTCAGGAAGATGGAATTCTCTTCCATTTCCAATAAGAGAGCAAATAAATATGTGCATATGTGATTATGATATGTGATTATATGATTGTCCCAGGATTTCCGTTCGGGGGGGGGGGTGGGAGAAGTGGCGACGAAAGTCTGTCTTCGAGTAAAGGTGCTTGACCTTAATTATGCACTTCAAAATTTCTTTGGAATGCTTCCCAGAGGTCCTTAAAATTTTTACAGGGCTAATTTATTTTTTTTTGAAGTTATTGTGATTATTTACAAACATAAATAAGTACCTTGCCCATTTTTATAACACAGTAAA